TGATACGTACTTTTATCTTTTTATTCAAGAGTCTTTTATATTTGCGATGGAATACAACAATTAATCTCAAAAAATTAAAGACGAATCACAAAAAATGAGAAAATTTTTTATGTAAAAAAACTTGGCGCGCTGCTAGACCTCAAAATATAATAAGTAAATGTTATATAAAAGAAATAAACGATGTTTACTGTTTAATTAACATTAATTATCATTAAAATTACAATCACAATTATAATACAATTAAGATTATAATTAATTTTGAATCTACTTTTAAATTTAATATATTATATTATTTTTAAATTTAACTTAAACCGCATGTCTTACAAATCTGAAATCATTATTCTATTCTTATACGCTTTTACGATATATAACGCGCACCATATAAATACTTATCCTATATTAAATCTAAGCCGCATACCTATCTAAATTTGCTCGCATACACACACATAAACACGCTGTATTTTATTAATTCACCTCATACTCATTCTTAAATATCTTCATTACTTTTCATATTTGGTATTTTTAATTATTTGCTCGTACATACGCGCACACGCGCGACACATACACACACACACACACACACACACACACACAGAGTATATTGTTACAGTTCACCTCATTTTCTTTCTTAAATCTCTTCATTACTTTTCTAATTCGGTATTATTTGATGATCATCTTATTATATTTTGAGGTCTAGCAGCGCGCCAAGTTTTCTTACATAAAAAATTTTATTACAAAATTTTTGTATAAAATATATCACAAGAATGATCGATAAATTCGTTACATTGATTTTCCACAAACACGGATTGGAGGAAAGATTTTGTCACCTGTTCGATTCGATGGGTCGCTCTAATCATAAAATTCATAAGAAGACAAAATAAAGAAAAATTGACTCTCCATCACATTACCGGCATCCATCACTAAGTACGATCGCTGTCCATAACAGTGTTGAGTCGATGAGCAATCGTTAGCACTGTACACTTCTCGAATTTTTTTCCTGATAGTTGTCTGGATAAGTTCGTTCGTTTGCGGTTCCACATTCGCGGTCGCTTCGTCCAGCACGAGTGTTGGATTGTTCCTCACAATAGCTGGCGCCATGCCGACCAATTGCCGATGGCCGATGCTGAGATTGGAACCGCTCTCATTGATGTGGACTTCTAAGCTCATCTCCTTCAACTCGACCTCCTCAAGAGCTCGCCATAGTGGTTCGTCCGTAAACGAGTCGAACGGATCGAGATTCTGTCTCAGGCTGTCGGAGAACAGAAACGGTTCCCGCGAGATGATGTTGATTTTAGAACGCAAATCGTGCAAGCCAATCTGGCGAGTATTGACTTTGTTGATCTTAATCAGACCATCCACATCGACCAGGTGGAAGAGCGCTTAAATCAGAGATGACTTGCCGGCGCCGGTTCTGCCAACAATGCCAATTTTTTTTCGTAGAAATATATACGAAACTGAGATTTTTAAGCAATGGAGGTTCCAATGGCGCATAACGCAGGAACGTGTTCTTGAATTCAATCTGGCCTTCTTGCGGCCATTCAGATTTAGGTTTCTTATCAGGGACACTCTTGAGAGGGGGTTCGGTGTCTATTTTGCTGGAAGGTATCGAAATAGGGAATGCGGTTTGAATTTAAAGAGACTGGAATAAAAGACTCCATATTTCTAGTTATTTATGAAACTTACATATAAATTTGAGTTCCTATATAGATAAAAAAAAAGTACGGAAACATCAATATTAAAAAAATCAAAAATTAAAGAATGTAAAAGACATAAATCAAAGATCCAGGATTTACAAATTCATCGCTCTAAGAACTAAGGTTTCATGTGTGCACAGAATTTGAAGGTGTCAAAACATTAAGAATATGTAATATACTACAATATCAAGATATTCAAAGAAGAGGCGAGTACCTGTACTCAAGGATACGCTCCACTGAGGTCATATGATTCTCCATCTCGGCGCTTTGGCGCATGCCCCACTGAAACCACCGAATGAGATTGATACTCTGCGTGATCGCCCACGCATGCGCCGTTCATCAAACCGCGACTGTAGTTGTTCTGCATGAGGAAGCTTAGTGTAAGACCATAATAATATACAGCACGCTGAAAGTATTCAGCCATAAAGGCGCGCGAAGATGTAATAAAGATGCACCATGCGGAAGAATGAATATCCTGGTAACCATCAAACTCCTTTCTTAGGATCGCAACCGCTCCAAAAGTGCGGATCGTCGGTAGTCCTTGAAGAATCGTACTTATAGATGAGTGAAAATCGACGAGTAAGATGAGGAAGGAGTAGAAATTCCGGTCAGTTTATTCAAAGAATTAAAAATTCATCAATTCAGATTTTACTTCAGTCTGCGATTGAATCTATTCTTATTTTATCGAAAAAGCTGTTTATGTGTGTCTAGAGAGAAGAACCAAAATACTTACCGATGCCCTCGAGACGCTTAATACTACGACTGGTGGACAGATAGAAGATTCTCATGTAATAAAAGGCAATGCCAATAAGCACCGTACCCAGGTAGCTCCTATTGGATCATATACGTTTTACAGACGTTTCTTAGCCGTATTTAATGTTCTACAAGCGTTTAGGAAACGTATATAAACATGTGCTACTGGGGTAGATATCAGCAACCATACATTTGATATGGCGACTATGACGACAATGCCCAGTAGTAATAGACCTATCTGAATGCTGTCGATAAGCGAAGCAATATCCCGTCTACGGTGTCCTTGGAGAAGCGATTGAGCACACGTCCCGATGCGTTGGTGTCGAAAAATCGCATATATTATGTGTTACTTGTAACGTCGTTATTTTTCTCATTACTTTTTTTTTAACAATCGTTACTTTTTTCTGTCTGTAACGTTATTTTTTAATTTTTTTGGATGAGTTGGATTGAATCATAATACGATTGCTGGCGCTGAAAGATGTTTCGCTTTTGTGCCTCTAGAAGTGTACTTCTATCTACCCAAATTGTATCTTTGTTAACAAATGAGTGAAATACTCAAAAATTTTTTTAATGCTTGTTTAAGTATACAAACATATATTTACAATTTAATATTGTATTATCTATAATAAAAAGTTCCTAAATGCAATAAATAAAATTATAAAATGTTAAATTTCTTATTTTTATTTCTTAAAAAATATTTTATATTTTATATTTTAGACTCCATTCCAATAATCACTATTAGTATTGAAAATCTATAATTCACATTACATATAGGAGAGACCGGGGCACAATGAGTCGCAAATATTCAAACTCTTAG